CATCCCGAGACCGTCGTTTTCTCCTTCTAATCTTTGCTAGCCTCTGCGAAGGAGAAACATTTGCAGCTGGTGGAGGACAAGGGAGAGGTGGTTAAAAAAGACACATTTTAGAGAACAATGGGTACACTCTTTCACGTTAAATTTTGCTGTTCACATTACACAGCACATGTGCTTTCGTTACAAGGTCGCATTTTTCCCCTTATATTGAGGGCCTGCCAGTTTGGTGTGAGAGATCACTCACGCGGTGCCAGGCAACAGAATTCGGCTTGCAGGCAGCCATGGTAAGCCATAGTCTTTTGGATTTTTTAACTCTCATAACATGTGGGAATGGTTTCAAACAGTAGCGCCCTCATTTCCCATACCAAGGACCCATTGGGTTGGCTATTTAAAATGGGTTTGCAATGTAAAAGGAGGGGCTGGGGTTTTCGGGTTAACATGCAGCACAAACCCAACTACCCCCTCCCCCCACACACATACCCAATTCTCTGGGATGATCCCTTAACCCCTCCCCCCCCCGACCGCGTGGCTAACAGCAGGGAACATTTCTGTTCAGCCGGGCAGGAACAGGCACCTCTGAATGCCCCCTTAATAAAATCACCCCATTTCAACCAGGTGACCATGAATGATATCACTCTCCTGAGGATAACAAAGAGAGATAAGGAATGGATGTTGTCTGCATGCCAGCAAACACCGGGACCATACGCTGCCATGCTTTGTTATGCAAAGATTCCAGACTACGTGCTACTGGCCTGGCATGGTAAAGTGTCCTACCATGGCTGACGGGATAAGGCAGCCCTCCCCAGAAACCTTTTGCAAAGGCTTTGGGAGTACATGAAGGAGAGCTTTCTGGAGATGTCCTTGGAGGATTTCCGCTCCATCCCCATACACGTTAACAGACTTTTCCAGTAGCTGTACTGGCCACGATTGCCAGGGCAAATTAATCATTAATCATTAAACACGCTTGCTTTTAAACCACGTGTGATATTTACAAAGGTACACTCACCAGAGGTCCTTTGTGTGCCCTCAGGGTCTGGGAGCACGCCTTGGGTGAGTTCAGAGGTTACTGGTTCCAGGTCCAGGGTGATAAACATATCCTGGCTGTTGGGGAAACTGGTTTCTTCCTTGCTGTGAACTAACTTCATTGTCTTCATCATCATCATCATCTTCCGCGTACCCCGAACCCGCTTCCCTGTTGCGTGTTTCTCCATTGATGGAGTCAAAGCACATGGTTGGGGTAGTGGTGGCTGCACTCCCTAGAATGGCATGCAGCTCTGCGTAGAAGCAGCATGTTTGCGGCTCTGCCCCAGACCTTCCGTTTGCCTCTCTGGCTTTGTGGTAGGCTTGCCTTAGCTCCTTAATTTTCATGCGGCACTGCTGTGCGTCCCTGTTATGGCCTCTGTCCTTCATGGCTTTTGAGACCTTTTCTAATATTTTGCCATTTCGTTTACTGCTACGGTGTTCGGCTAGCACTGACTCATCTTCCCATATGGCGAGCAGATCCCGTACCTCTCGTTCTGTCCATGCTGGAGCTCTTTTGCGATCCTGGGACTCCATCACGGTTACCTGGGCTGATGAGCTCTGCGTGGTCACCTGTGCTCTCCACGCTGGGCAAACAGGAAATGAAATTCAAACGTTCGCGGGGCTTTTCCTGTCTACCTGGTCAGTGCATCTGAGTTGAGAGTGCTGTCCAGAGCGGTCACAATGAAGCACTGTGGGATAGCTCCTGGAGGCCAATAACGTCGAATTCCGTCCACACTACCCCAAATCCAACCCGCAAAGGCCGATTTTAGCACTAATCCCCTCATCGGAGGTGGAGTAAAGAAACCGGTTTAAAGGGCCTTTTAAGTCGAAAGAAAGGGCTTCGTCGTGTGGACGTGTCCAGGCTTAATTCGATTTAACCCTGCTAAAGTCGACCTAAACTCTTAGTGTAGACCAGGCCTCAGTTAGGACCTGGCTGTTATCCAGCCAGCATAGTTAGAGCGATACAGACCCATCTAAGGCTACATCTACACTGCAGGGGGGAGTGGATTTAAGATACGCAAATTCAGCTGCGTGAATAGCGTAGCTGAATTCGACATATCGCAGCCGACTTACCCCGCTGTGAGGACGGCGGCAAAATCGACCTCTGCGGCTTCCTGTCGACGGCGCTTACTCCCACCTCCGCTGGTGGAGTAAAAGCGTCGATTCGGGGATCGATTGTCGTGTTCCGACGGGACACGATAAATCGATCCCCGAGAGGTCGATTTCTACCCGCCGATTCAGGCGGGTAGTGTAGACCTAGCCTAATATGCATGCAGTTATACTGGTATAAAGGTGCTTATGCAGGTACAGCTTACTGCTGTAAGGAAAAGGGAATAAGTTATAATGGTATAGCTGTGCCCAGGCTAGAGACTGTACTCATTTAATTGTTTTGGTAGAAAATCAACCCCTTGCCTCACAAACACACACAGAAATAGTTAAATCAGTACAAAAACTTCATGCAGACCATGCAGTAGCATGTATAAAGTCACAGTTCACCAGGTCCCAAGAGCCTAAGGCCCTACTCCTATAACAGTGGTCCCCAAACTCTCTCCTCCCCTCCCCCCCCCAGAGACATGATCAGGGGGCTGGATGCAGGGCCAGTGCTGCAGCTGGGGCCTCAGCTGAGAGCGGGGAAGTGTTGGGAGCAGGGGCCATGGCAGGGAGCGGAGCTGTGGCCAGGAGTGCACATGCAGGTGGAGCGGGGCTGTGGCCAGGAGTGGGGCTGGGTAACACTCTCCCCCCCTCCCCCATTGGGGCTGGCCCAGGCCCCATGTGCCCTCCCTGAATGTTTCTCCGTGCCCCCTGGAGGGGTGCCCCCACAGTTTAGGGACCTCTGTCCTATATGCATCTGAGAATACAGGGTGTTGCTTTGAAATCCAGGATACCTGGTGCATTTGAGTGGCTTATAGGGCAAATGTTTGGATTTGGAAAAACTGAAAGGTCAATTTGTACTACATTAAAAAAAAAAACACCTGTAATAATGAACAATAAATTATCACGGGTATGCCTTATTTTGGGTCTTTGTCCTACCTTGGGGCATTGGCAGGTCAGTGGTAGGAAGTAGTGTGCAAGTGAGAAGGAAATGGGTAGTCTTTTAGAGTTTAAGCTCTTTGGAGCAAGGCCTGTCTTCTACTGTGTGTTTGCGTACAGTGCCTAGCACCGGAGGGCAAGGATCAGCATTCATGTCGTGCTGCCCCTCAGTACCCGGCTCTGGCCAGGGAAGCTAATGATCCAACCAGCGGACCAAATTCGATGAGGAATCCTGGTTGCGTACCACCAACTACTAGCAGTTTTAAGCTTACTAAGTATGGCTGTTTGGTGTATTAAACGATCTTTTTTGTTCTATGTTTGCACAGCACCTAACACAGCAAGGCCCTGGTATATGACTAGTGCTCCTAAAGTGCTACGGTAATAAAAATAATTGCAGAACAATGGTGGGGCAGCCACCTTTCGACTGGGAGCCCAGCATGGGGGCCGCTGTTATCATTTGGGGGTGAGAATGGGTTCTCTTTCTTCCTCACCCAAACACCCCTTGCTTAGGGGTCCTTCCCCCCCTCACTTCACACAGGGGTGGGTGGTCTCCCCACGCCATCGCTTCACCCCAGTTCACAGGATGGTTTGGGGGAGGGGGTGTCCCCCCCATTCATCAGCTGAGTTCCCAGGCGGTAGGGGAGGGAAGGGGGGAAGAGAGGGATTTCTCTGTTTTCTTCCCACGGCCTCACCACCCCGGGGCGGGTCCGGGGGATCCCCTCTTCCCGGCGGCTCAGGTACATGGGCTGCCACGGCTGGGAGCTGGGAACTCTCCCCCCCTACCCGCCTCAGGTGTCTGGATCCTCGCCCTGGGGCCAGCCCCCCTTTCCCCACGGGCCCCTGGGGGCTCCCCCAGCCCGCACCCCACGTGGAGCGGGGCCCGCGGCACGTACTGTGGGTCCGCGCGGGCAGCACCAGCGCCGAGGCCCGCTCGTCCTTCCTTCCTGCCGCGGCGGGAAGCGGGGCCCGGGGGCGGGGTTCGCCGGCTCCCGATCCCCTGGGCTGGGGCGCCCCCTGGCGGAGCAGAGCGGGCGCCGCAACCAACGTCCTCCATCCCCCGCGCCTGCCCGGGGGCGAGCGCCGCCCTCCCCGCCTGGCCTGCGCCGCTCTGCTGCGTAACACCGGCCCGCCCGGCGCCTGTGCGGGGCTCGCCCTGAGAGACGCCCTCAGGGGAAAGCGGGTGCTGAGGGCTTTTCTGCGTGGGGGCGAAAGACACCAGGCGGCCTCCCCAAGTGACTGCATCAGCCCTTGTTTGTAGCAGCCAGGAGATCGGGGCACCACCCTCTCCCTCAGCGGGAGAGGAGCCCGCCAGCCTGTAGGGTGACCAGATGTCCTGATTTTATAGGGACAGTCCTGATTTTTGGCACTTTTTCTTATATAGGCTCCTATTACCCCCCACCCCCGTCCCGATTTTTCACACTTGCTGTCTGGTCACCCTACCAGCCTGACCCCCTTTGCAGGAGGCAGATTTCCAGTGGGCGGTGCTGGTGCCTTCCAGATCCACCGTCTGGTGTGGGACGGAACTAGGGTGACCAGACAGCAAATGTGAAAAATCGGGACGGAGGTGGGGGGTAATAGGAGCCTATATAAGAAAAGGACCCAAAAAATCGGGACTGTCTCTATAAAATTGGGACATCTGGTCACCCTAGACGGAACAAGCCCCAGAGAGGCGCTGGGACCCCCCTCTCTCCCAGTCAGGGAGAGGAGCTGGAAGGCCTCACCCCATCACCAAGGGTTGTAACTCACCCATACCCAGTTTGTGCTGGGTGCTTGAAATGTATTCAGATTGGGGCCTCTCGGTTTCGCCTGGCTGGTGCTGCTGAATACTCTTCCTAGCAACTTTACCAAAGATGATAGGCTGGGAGTTTTGAAGGAGCCTAAAAGTATTAGACAACCAAATCTCATTGGCATTCAGAGGGATTTGGGCACAAGGCTCCTGTAGGCTCCTTTGAAAGCTGCAATCTACATCTGTATTCAGAGTTTGTGGTGTCAGTATGTTTGTAACAAACATTTGTTTTCTTCCCATAACAGCTGAAACTGCTTCAAGTGAAAATCTGCACACAGGGTTAACTACAGAGCTGCTGATAATGCCTCCATACGACAACCAATGTGCATTGGAAATATTTGCTTATTGACTAATCCTGGATGGCTTTATATAGTTTAACAACAAGCTATTTGATTATTATTCTTTAAGAGAGGCAAAATATTTTCATGGCTGTCTTTTGCTTACATACAAACATTTCATGCTTTGATCAGAAAACATTCCCTTAGTCTGAATTAGACATTAAGGCCCAGATTTTCAAAAGTAAGGCTCCAAAATTCCACTGATTTCCAAGGAAGTTAGGAGTCTAAATACCTTTTTTGGATCCAGGCCTAACTCAGTTTAGCTTGTTGCTAGTAATGCATCCTTTGTAGGACTTATCTCTGTTCCCTGCTTGCATCTATATATATGTTTGTGGTTAGCTCATGAAAGGAACATTGAATAACCTCATTTAATTTAACGTGTATTTAGGAATGTGCTGATGTCAAGACATATTTACAGTTAAAAAACAAAAATAATCAAGATAGTTGCTTTATTTCACTGTTCATGTTTTAATAGATTTATTATTAGTAGTATTATATTTAGTACTGTTTTATATCAGAACCCTGGTAATGTCCCTGACTGAGGGAAATTGTTTCAGTTTTAATATAGGAGTTGTAATTGTCAGCTACTCACATCTAGCACAAACCATAGGTAGTATATAATTTATAGTCTTCTTAGCAGCGTAAATTACTTTTGAAGTTACCTGCATATAGATTATAGCATCCAGATTTGGAAATTTCACTCCCAGCTATAGCAGAAGCTTTACAAACATCTCTTAATCGGTTGTCACCAGAATAAAGCTCTTAATTTGATTAAATTTAAGCACCTGCTTAAATGCTTTCTGAAATAGAGATGTGTTTAAAGTTAAGCCCGCACTAAGTGCCTTGCTGAATTATTGTCTAAGCGATCACATTAATGCTTACTGGACATCATAGGGAATGGTATGTGATTAATTTCTCCTGCTTTATCAGCATCAGCAATTTCCTTGGGTAAGAAGATTTTTACATGAAATGTAGAGCAGATGCTGGGGAGAATAAGAAGGGTTTCTTTTCAATATAAATTGTGATCACAGAAAGTGGTAAGAAATATGGTTGATCTCCAAAATAAAATGAATATCTGTTCAGGTAATAGTTGAACAGGTGTGTGGAAGGGGATACATGCTTCCATAATTGATGTTTTATTACCACCAGGAAGCTTTGGATCTGAAATGTTGACTTAAGGAGCTGATTTTATTACCCACAAAGTGAAGCAATGGATACTTTAAACAAGAGAATTTTGATTTCTGTAGTGATTTTATAGAATATCAGGGTTGGAAGGGACCTCAGGGGGTCATCTAGTCCAATCCCCTGCTCAAAGCAGGACCAATCCCCAGATAGATTTTTACCCCAGTTCCCTAAATAGCCCCCTCAAAGATTGAACTCATCACCCTGGGTTTAGCATGCCAATGCTCAAACCACTGAGCTATCCCTCCCCCAAACATTACAGGAATAACAGCCACTTACTAAAAATGCAACCGATCATACACTAGAAATGCAATGATGAAGGGGAAAAAACATCATTTGTCCAGTACTTGTACAGTGGCTAACACAACCTAGTCTAGTTCCATGACTAGGGTTCCTAGGTGCTATTATTATTATTGTTTTATTATTTATTATTTTATTTTATTTGCAGAATAATACTATTCTTGAATTTTGCAAATATAAACAAGAAATTACTTAAAAAATATTCTGGGTGGGATTTTCAGAGTGCTCAACATTGTTCTAGCTTTGCTCTGTTTTTTGATCTCCCAAAGTTGGGACTGCTTGGGTCTGCCTTCACAGAGAATTTTGGATAAAATTCTGGAGTTCTGGGCTCTGATTCTGCAAACACACAAATGCTTTAAAACATGTGAGTAGTTCCGCTGAATTCAAGTGTCTGTCAGTAGACAAATGCAGTAACAGAGGTCATCTTCTCAAAGTGAGAAGTTGTCTGTTGGAGAATGTTAAAACTTAAGTGTTCTCTTTACACATATTTTTGCACAAATGTAGCATTGCCATTTGGCCACAAGGTAAGCAGTCCCATCTTGACTAATCTCTTGGTACTCTTCTGCCTGCATAGTTATACTGGGTTTTTACTCCGTGACTAGATACTAGGTTGACCTGTGTTTTCTTTCTTAGTTAGAAGCTAAAGTTTTTTTTGTGTGTGTGTTTATTTCAGAGACTCTAATTTACTTCATTAACAAATAATGGAGCAACCTTTTCTACTCAGTGCTGAATGTCCACACTCCTTTATGCTCTCTGCCAACCCTCACTTTGTTTGGGCCTCTCTCATTTTAAGTAAAAAGGCTCTCTGTAACAGAGTGGCCTGCTCCTTTAAGGGCTAGAAGGTCTTAGGCCAGTCAGCCCTCTTGAGTTAGTCTACTTCAGTGGTTCTCAAACTATTGTACTGGAGACCCCTTTCACATAGCAAGCCTCTGAGTGTGACCCCTCCTTATAAATTAAAAACACTTGTTTATATATTAAACACCATTATAAATGCTGGAGGCAAAGTGTGGTTTGGGGTGAGGCTGACAGCTCATGACCCCCCATGTAATAACCTTGTGACCCCCTGAAGGGTCCTGACCCCAGTTTGAGAACCCCTAGTCTACTCAATTCCACTGGTGCAGGGTGTGGGACTTAAAAGGAGGAAGAGGAGTTTCCTGAGCAAGACTGCTAGAATCCTCTACAGGTAAGCCAGCCTGCCTCTCTCTCTCTCCAGGGAATTCTGGCTTGGTTGGAGGGCCAAGTCACCTCTAGGGTGGCAGTGGGTCAAAGATTGTTGTAGGGAAACTGAGGTAAAAATGCTGCAATGCCAGGTCTTGCTGCAAGGGGGCGCACTGAGATGGTGAGCCTCACAACACTCATATGTTTCTTTTTCTATAAACACACACACTGGTGGAATTAAAAAACAAAACAAAAAATAAATCTCTTGGTTTAGACTCAGCAGAATGACTCTATGGCCTTGGCTACACTTGCGAGTTGCAGCCCTGTAACTCACTCCCCGTCCACACTTGCAAGGCATTTGCAGCGCTGTATCTCCGTGGTTGCAGTGCTGCATGTACTCCACCTCTCCGAGAGGAATAGCGAGTGCAGCGCTGCCACTGCAGTGCTGCAGCGCCACTGTGGCCACCCAATGCGCTGTGAATGGCCTCCAGAATTATTCGGCAGTATCCCACAATGCCTGAGGGTGAGTCAGTGTGTTGTGGCTTGGATCCCCATTGACATGGTGGCAGACTCCCGCCACCCTTAGGGCCCTGGGCTGGGACGCAGTGGAGTGGGAAGGCCTGTGTCCCCCCTGCCACCCAAGCGGTGGGTGACAGTCTCCCCTTCCCTCAGACTAGCTGAAGGAAAGCCTGAGTTAACCAACTTTGTTTGCAGCCCCACCTGAGTACAGGTTGAAACTGAGAGACTTTGTTTACTGCCCCACTCTGAACCAGAGCCTAGGCAGACTGACTGCAGCTCCCCTGACTCTCTACTGCCCCACCCTGATCAAGGGCCTGGGCTAATCGACTGTTTGCAGCCCAGACGGAGTACAGGCCTGAGCCTGAGACTTTTTGCTGCCCTGCCCTGACCAGTGGCTGGGGCTCCGTAACTGTGTTTATTGTTTGGCCCTGATCGCAGGCCCGAGCTCACATCTCCCGTCGCCCCGCTGATTCCCCAAGTCAGGCGACCCCCGGAGACGTAGTGGGGCGGATTGGCTGCCCACAGACCTGGAGGGGGAGGAGCCACTCCCCCCAACGGACTACACGAGATCATAGACTTTCACCAAGAAATTTCTGCATCAATCTCATAACTTCTGATAGAGCTACAGCATATAATTTAGAAAGAGATCAAATCTAAGGCCTTTCTGTGATAGAGAATCCACAACATCCCTAAGTAAGTTGGTTATTTACCCTCATTGTTTAAAAAAAATTACACCTTATTTCTA